TGACGTGCCTACACCAATGGACAGTGCAAAGTTCGAACGATATGAAAAACTATTAAAAAATGCCAACCAAGAGGTTTTACCTGGGGTGCGAGAGATTTTCGATTCTCACGGCCATTGTGGAATAAATGCACGGAAAAATAAAGTATCATATGTCGAACCAGTGTTTGGATTACTTTTTGGAGATTTTTCAAGAGAATGCTTCCAAAGGACAATTGTTTGTCGAAAGACCATAGACATGCGTAAAATGTGTTGAATGGTCGAGGATTGGGTTACGAAAAAATTCACGCTTGCAAAAACAATTGTATTTTCTTCTACAAAAAGAATAAAGCATTGGATAAATGCCCTGTATGCAATGAATCGAGGTTCAAAATGACACCTCAAAATAGAACGACTAAGATCCCACAAAAAGTCATGCGGTATCTGCCTTTGAATCCTAGGTTGTAGCAATTGTATATGTCGACGCATACTGTCACCGACATAAGATGGCTTAAGGAAAAACGGGTAAACAACGATGTGATGAGGCATCCTGTAGATGGGGAGGCATGGATAGAGTTCGATCGAATGTTCCCCGAGTTTGTTGCTGATCCCCGGAATGTTATATTGGGACTTGCCAATAATGAATTCAATCCGTTCGGGGTTCTAAACCAACACCACAACACTTGGCTGATTTTCATATTTCTATATAATTTGCCGCCTTGGAAATGCATGAAAAAAGAATACATGATGATGACTCTTTTGATAACTAAGGATCTTGGTAGGTCAATCGATGTTTACTTAAGGTCGTTGGTTGATGAGCTACGAATAAACGATGTGCACACGTACGATAAGTGTACTGGGAAGATCTTCACTTCGTGGGCAACAGTTATGTGGACTGTGAACGATTATCCCGCATATGCAATGGTTTCTAGGTAGAGCACTAGGGGTATACGACATGCTCTGTATGCAAGGATGATGTAACATCTGGTTGGCATGCCGAGAAAGGTTGTTACCTTGGTTGTCGGAGATAGTTTCCATAAGACCACAAGTGGCGGGAAAAGGAATTTGCTCCGTTCAGGAAAACAGTGAGTAGGACCATACCTTCTACACATATGTACTGGACACACATGTCTATACTTTTTGAGCTCCTGTATTGTTTAAAACTAAAATTGAGACACAACCTCGACGTTATGCATGTTAAGAAAAATGTATTTGACACATTGGTGAGCACCATTCTAGATATCGAGGGCAAGACAAATGACACGATCAAAGCCCGTCTTGATTTGGAAAGAATGGGCATACGGATGGGTTTATGGATGAATAGGGATAGTGATAAAGCCAGAAGGGATCTTGCGTTTTTTTCCATGAAACCGAATGACAAAAAAAGAGTTTTTAAAGGTTGTATCATCTGTAAAGTTTTCCGATGGGCATGCTTATAATATCCCACATTGCGTGAATGTTGACGGGTTAAATTTGCTGGACTAAAGAGCCATGACTTTCATGAATGCCTACTTTCTGTGGGTATTCGACACCTATTGTTGGAAGATGTTGTGAAGCCAATCATGTGATTGTCCAGATTTTTTTTCCCAACTAATGGCAAGAACGTTGTGAAAGATAAACGTTAATCAATTGCGCCATGACATTGTCCAACTCCTATGCAAGTTTGAGATGATACTCCCTCTAACTTTCTTCACAAGTATGATTCACGTGATGGTTCACTTGTCGGAAGAGGCATTGCTTGCTGGTCCTGTCAACTATCACTAGATGTATCCAATAGAAAGGTATATAATCCTCATCATTTGTTTATTCATCATTAACCCATGCTTACTAATTTGTATTGTATCGTTTTATTTTAGCAGGCTTCTTAAGGAGTTGAAAAAAAGTGTACGCAATAAGGCGAAGCCCGAATGATCAATTATAGAGGCTTGGGTTCAATATGATTCGCTTACATTTTGTGGAATGTATTTAAAAGATGTGGAGACGACATTCAATCGTCATCAACGCAATAATGACGGGGGTGTGAGAAAGGAGAAACTTTCTATTTTTACCCAATATGAACGACCCTTTGGAGATTCTGTACGAGGCGACTTGTTTTCCAAAAATGACATGGAGATAACGCATTGGTTTGTATTGAACAATTGTGACGAGACAATGGCATACCTAGATGAGCATGAAGAGATGATGAAGTGAACATTCATCACATTTGTATGCCAAGAAACATCGAGAATTGTTTCCACAGTGGTTTCTCAAATATGTAAGTTATAAGTGTTTTGTATTTGACATGTATATTGTAGTATTTAATTTTTTTCAAACTAACAGGTGTATGATTTTGTATAATGTTAGGTGAATAAATTGAAAGCATCAAATTCCCCCACTTACATGAAGAGTTATGTAACTTGGCATTTGGCCCAATTCGTGCTGAATTGTTCTCGGGTTGCCATGTTAACGATATCAAGTTTTTTGGGCTGCACGAGATGACAGGTTGTGCTCACAAAATAGGGTTGTCCATGTCCCAAGTGGAAGTGAAAGTACAAAAATTGATACCTATGGCAAACTAACAAGTGTCATGCAATTGCTTTACAAAGACCGATGCCAAATGATCATGTTTAAGTGTCGATGGATTGATACAAACCCAAATAGGCAGGGAAGTGTTAAAATTGACCATGGCTTACTATCTTTGAACACTAACAGAACTTGGTATGAGGACGACCTTTACATTTTGTCAAACTTGGCAAAACAGATTGTGTATCTAGATGACCCTAAAATCGAGAAAGGTTGGAAAATTGTTTAGAATCTGGATCAGAGGAATGTGTACGCTATACCAGAACAAGGCCATACTGACAACAACGTCGCTGACCAACGTTTAGAATCTTCAATGGAAAATGATGTAGAAACACTTCGAGATACAAATCTTATCCAAAAATTGTTTTAGTTACAAGGAGTGGCTTCAATCAAATTACCGATTTAGTCAATTACAATTGACCTCGATTGTTAAACCCTACGCATAAAACTAAGTGTAATTTCACATCTTTATTTAAAATTTATGAAATTACATTTGTACCCCTGAATTTTACCCAATCCAGATCCTTCTTTTTGGATTCTCTTCCTCTCCCTGCCTGCACGTGGCAGCCCCCTAACCCATCCCTATCTCTCTTTCCCCTTACTTTGAGTCAACCCTCTCCCCCTCTCTCAGCTTTTTCACTCACTCTCTCTCTCTTTCTTTCTCTCTCTCTCCTAAAGCTCTCTTGGTTTTCTCCCTTCCCGGCAACAACTTACACACATACACACCTCTTGATACCATCACAACCACACCATCCTGATCACCTAGACCTCTCATCCCTGCCTCATCTCTCTGATCTCTCTCCTGGCATTATGTACCGCCACTGTGCATGATCAACGTTGACTTTTTGTTGACTTTTTTTTGGGTTTTGTCCAGGACATCCTGGACCCGTTTTTAACGTCCATTTTCCCAAATTCAATCGTTTAAGTATAGTTTTATTATAGGTGCAATTATTAACGGTGTTTCTGTCCTGCCTATTTCATATGGCTCTTCAACTATGGAGTATCTGTGAGTGGACCCTTTCTAAAATGCATGTTTTAATAGTAAAAATGAACACATGAAAAGCATGATTTAATGATTACGTTTTATGAAATGTTTATGAGTAAATTAGATTTACACTTTATTATTATCATGCTTTACCAAGAATATTTTGGAATATCATACTTTATTGAAACTTATGTTCTTTGTAGTATATATGATGGATGACTATATGCTATTAAGATGTTTTTGAGATATATGTTTATATTGGAAAGATTATATTCAATGATTTTTGGTGCTTATCTAGTGGTCACATATATGCCTTCGAGTGGGTAATGTAGGAGCCTACGGGCGGATCGATACTTATATATGCCTTCGGGTGGGTGTTGTCGGAGCCTACAGGTAATTGATACTTATATGCTTTTGGGTGGCTATTGTTGGAGCCTATGGGCGATTGATATTTGATGTATTTCTGAAGGAAGGCCTTTGGGCGAATGAAGAGTTTTATGTGCCTTTGGGCAACACTGATACCACTAGTTAGCACATTATATACGGATATGTTTCATGAAAGGTTTTATGGTATGCTAGGGTTTTCAGCAAATCAATCACCTATTATGTTATTAGTTTTCATAAAACTTTGGGGGTTAGTATGTTGATAACTATTTCAATATTATTTATATATATAACTTGGTCCACTCATGTTTGTTTTACGCCCCCTCAAGACATAGGAACGAGGCGTACAATCTGAACTACGAGGCATTCCCCTACCAGTGATATCATATCATCTTCTCTACTTTGACATCTATTGTAATAGCACTTCTCTATCTTACCTTCCATTTGTACTCTGGATTAGTAGTATCTCTGAACATGTCATACATTATCATTATATACATTGTTTGCAGTTGAATATTATTATAGTATTTTGTAAGATTTATATTTGAATATTACTTAAAGTAGTTACACGTGAAATTTATATGCATGTTTTACATGTTCTCAGCATATGCATTCATTAAATGGCTTGCAGACATCGGGATCAGGGCGTGTCATCGATAATCTTCTATGATACGATGATGAGGTGGACCTGAACGACGATGGTGACGTACCTATCGAGAAGGAGGATTGGGAAACCGAAAGTGATGATAACGAGGATAGCGAAAGTTATTATAGTTCGGATGATGAATAATGCAATTTATTTATGACTTGTTATATAAAACATATTAAATGATTTTTTTTGTAATTTATTTATCTTATGGTATAAATAAATTGTTTTTATTTGAATAAATATAAATTTAAAAAAATTTCACCCGGGTAAATTAAATTTTCAACTCATTACGCGACAAACATGAAAATATTCGTTGCGTAAATCTATGTGCGAGACAATTAAATTCCCTTTCTTCGCGCAAGGAGGTGAAAATTTTGACTTTCTGGACGGGCACGAATATAATTTCATGAAAATTTGAATTTTTTGCGCGACGGATATCTTATTTTCATCACGCAAGAACCTCGGATTAAATTGAAAACGCAAACACTTTCCCCTCACTAAATCTCTGTCACCATCCCTCTCGGCCTCTCACCATCTTGCCCCCTCGTACTCTCTCTTCCTCCTCCGACACACCCTCACCGGCACACACCCCTCTCCGATGCTCCACAGTCCCGTACCCAAGCCCACAATTCGGTCCACCCATCTCCGCTGCTAACAAGGTAAATATTTCAATTTTTTTTTAATTTATTTCGATTTTCGTTTGGGGAATTTGGAGTTCCAGCTTATAGAGCATTAGATTAGAGAATTAAGGGATCGATTTTAGGGGGATTAAGGCTTAGGAGCTAGGGGTTGGATTTTTGGGGATTAGGGTTTACAATTTTTCAGATTTTTGGGGATTGTGTGGTGCGGGTTTGTTTAGGATTTTTGCAAATTTCAAACTCAAACTCCTTCAAGTCAGACTCGTCCTCTTCCTGCTTTGTGGGTAATCACTTTTTCTCGTCAATTTTCGCTTTTGCTTAAGTGCTTTTTCTGGTTTTGTTCAATTTTGGGAATTGGCACAGAGCTAGGGTTTGTAAGACTTTCTGAAATTTTGAAGATGCTAAATTTCAGACCTTTCCCACCCAAAATATTGAAGGTTTGTATCAGAAATTCGGACGGTGTTACTGAAACCCTAAAAGCTCTGTTTGTCTGAACCCACACAGAAATCTTGTAGTTCTTCAGTAAAAAACTTTGAGTTTTCAGAGTTGGTAAATACTGATCATTATTTTGTTGGGGACTTTTTCCTCCAAGTGGGTTTTGGGGATTTTTTAAAGGTTTTTTTTTTTTTTTTCCCCGAAAAGTTGGCTTTTTTATTTGTTTCATTTTATTGATAGTGTGACACGTTTTATGCATTTAGTGAAGCTTCATTAAGGTAATTTCTTGTGGAATTTCTTGTAATACTGTGCGATGGCGTGCCATATATGGCTTCATCAATTGGTTAGATCTGTTGGAAATTGTAGTGGAATTGTTGTGTTGGAGAGTTCTGTTGGTGTAGTTCCAAGTGTTTGATTAAAACGCATGCCTAGCCTTTGTAACGAAGCGGAATCCTTTCGTCCTTGAACGTGGAAGTCTGTGGTTCAAGTTCCTAGGGAGAGATTAAGAATGCATTGCTAATTTGCTACAGCATCTATGAGATTTGAAGTTAATTTGGTACATTATATGTTTCTGTCAATAAAAGTGATACTTGTTTCTATTCAATGTGATGGGATTTCTTATTTTCTAGATTTATAGCAAAGACTTGGTTTTGCTCGGTGTCGGTGGGGGAGGGTTTTAAACTTAGTATTCAAACAATGTTTGTTTCGATATGAATTTTTTGTTTCTGCATCCGACTTTAAGTTTTTAGCATAATTGTATTGAGTATTATTTTTCTATTTAATAAGTCACACAATCTGATGCGATTTGTTTAATATCTCATTGGATCAGGTATTATTTGTTTTAAATTATTTATTTTTCTATTTAACAAGTCACACAATCTGATGCAATTTATTTGTCACGAGGGAGAGAGTAGTACAGATTCAGTTATGAAAATAAACTCTTGAAATAAAAACCTGTGTTCTTGTAAATAGTATAGAAAAGATGTTACCTTAAATAATGATATAATTAGCCTTTGTTTGCCGTTTCAATTAGAAAATGTGTGTGTATATTATGGATCTTTATGTGGGGCACGATATATATATGCATTGAATTTTTTTTTTTCTAATTGTGCAAATGTTGCAGCTTATTAGAAGTCGTAAGGCGGTGATGATTGCACCCTGTTCAATTCCCTCGCCTCCTATTTCAACCGCCACTGCTCTAGCAAACATGGACCCCAGGCCGGTAGATCTGGTTGGTCCCCAGGTCTTCCAGGCGGTCGCGTCATCAGCCTATTCAGTAGCGTTATATGTTAGTACTAGGCGTGGTCACTGCCGCCCCTGCACAACCAACAGGACATCGGCATCTACTACTGATGCCTCGGGGTCACAACAAGGTAAAGTTAAATAACGACCTTTATTGCCTTGTGAATTTAGTTATTCATATATTAAGTGCAATCAAAATTTTTACACACTGCAACTATGCGTTAGGTCCAAATTTGGCTTATTCAACTGTTGTGATTGTTGTTGGATATCATATATTATTCATTACAATGTCCAAGGTTTGGGAATTGTTATAACTTTAGGGGAGGTTTTGCCTATAATTTGTAGTGTTTGTTTGACTGTTTTTTATTTTTTCAGCAAAGAAAAATACCCAGGGACCTTATTGCTAGTTGAAGACGGCAAAGGTCACCCGAGTGACCAATGGACGTATCACAATCGGATACGACAATCGGCATCAGGCTGCACCAATGCCCGAGCAGCATAGCGCATTGGCCCACAACATTGGTCACGTCGTTCGGACCTATTTCCCTATGCAATGGAAGTCTTGGAAGGCCATGCCAAACGATGCGAGGATAAAGGTGCGCACTTATTTGTCGGTAAGTATCCTGTCTTTTTATTGCTTTTCCTTTAAATTTTATATATTTATATTACTTAATGTATGTAAATAATTTGTTACATTGCAGATGAACTACAATTTCAATGACATCAACGACAATATGTCGGCGTACGTCAACAGGCTCTTTGCTGAACAGTACAAGCAGTGGAAGAGCAACCTGCACCAATATTTTTAAACATATGATCTGCAGGTCGTTCTTGAGGAGGGTTGCCCGAAGGAGTTTGAGGACTGGGAAGATAATTGGGTGTGGCTCTGTATGTGGTACGTTTTTTATATTAAGTCTAAAAGTATTATACTTTTCTTACTAATGTTTATTGATTTTTTTTTATATTTCATTTAAATTAGAACTAATACGTTTATTTTTTGTATAACAGAAGAAGGCGAAAGCCAATAAGATCAATTGGGAAAATGAGACTATTCTCCACCATTTGCATTCGAGGCCATTCTCATATAGGATGGAGGCGCGGCGACAAGTAATAATAAAGCTTTTCATATTCAATTTTTAATATGTCAGTAATATTAAATTTTTTTTTCGTACAAACATTTTTCTTATCTTGTTCTATTTAGGGGGTTCAAAATTCCAGGAGATCGATGTCTTTGGAGACATTTATGTTTGACCCGGGAATAAGTTGGCTGAGTCCCTTCATGTAAATATTCTTCAATTGTAATTAATATCTTACGCATTCAAGTATCATGGTTATTATTTGAATGTTATTATTAATATTTCATGTTATATTACATGGGCAACGATGATGGAGAAGAGGCAGTTGGTTCTTTAGGAGTCCGTCTCCCAGCTTCCTCTCGAGACTCCGTTCAAGTATGTGGATCCCCCCGAGGATGCGAGGTTTTAGATCCTTACAGACACCTTAGATCAAACTCTCGGGCGAAGGCCAGGAATGTATTGTAGGGGGATGGGGAATGCCTGGCGGCGAGAACCTAGAGCCTCTTCATCCTCGTAGTTGAATGATGAGGTGACAACTTTGACAGCTGAGGTGGCCGACCTTAAGACTAAGCTCACCTCGTATAAGAGTCAGATGTCACTGATTGTATAGGCCTTCAGTCAGTCCGGCATTTGTCTCCCCAATATCCGTCCCCCATTGAGGTTCGAGCCCCTTCAACCCGAGCATGCCCAGAACTCCGCCCCTTCAACCTCTGAGCCTGTCGTCAACCTCGAGCCCTTCTTGCCCCAATCTTTCCACCCACATGCGAATGACGACCCCGTAGATTATTCCACCTTTTTTTCTTAGTTGTTTAGTCCCTTACTTTTAAAACTTTTTCCTTGTACATACATTTTATTTTTATTTTAAATAAATTATTTTTCTCTTCATTACATTTTTTTTATTTCAATTTAATTTTATTATTTTATTATAAAATTAAACCCAAAACAAAAAATATAATTTAAAAAAATATATATATATTTTTTTTTTTTTTGCGCGACGAATAGCTTCGTCGTGCATACTTTTTTGCTATAACTCACTTTCATCACGCAAGGACAACATGTTGTAACGCAAAGTTTTTAGAGATGAATATTAGTCGTCCCAGGTTTGTATCTTGACATTTTGTGCGACAAACATAGTTGTTCCTAAAAATTTGGTGCGACGAATGAGGAACTGTCGCACAAAGTCTTTCTTCACGATCTTTGAGCGATGGATTCTATGCGATGAAGTTTTCGTCGCGCATACGTTTGTGTGACACTATTAAGTTTTGCGCGACCAATTTCTGTTCGTCGCACTAAATGTTAAACGTGGTAGTGTGAATTGATTGATAATTATATCACATCAAATTCAATAACTTTTTTAGCACGCATAGTCAACCTACCTAATTGGTAAAGGTACATATATATCATTTATATTATGTTTTGTAAAAATCAGCTAGCCATGTAGAGATCAGCTTACTGTTCTATCTTCTTGAATCGAAACTTTTTATTTAATTTCCTTCTGTTAAACACCTTATATAAGTAGCATATTGTTGACCCTACAAACTAAATATTGGGTACAAACACATATATATCAGGAACAAATGATTAAAGAGAAATTCCACGGACTAAGAAAAACTTGGTATTCACATCCCTTCATAGGATTGACTGTGTGTATTCATGCATTTATATTAACATACATCAACAAGTAAACACATCAAAGAACAAGAAGATTAAACAACCACAACACAAGAACAAAACGCACGAGCCCTAAAAAAACCCTAGCCCTCTAAGGTTTGTTTGCAGCTCGATACCTTGCAGCAAATCTATGAAACAAAGCAAGCGCGTTGCTCGTCACCTCAGCCACATTCACGATCTTCCCCTTTATCGTAGCCTTTAACTTGCTCAAGTTTTTCACCGGCAGCTCATCCACACAAGTGTATGCATCAGTCAAAGCTGTGCTCACCCAAGTCTCCACGTTACTTATGTGCCAAATCAAGTCATCCCCCACAGTTTCTTGGCCAAAACGACGTAGTTCCTTGATAGATCCACTCAGTTGGTCCACACTGTCATTGATCTGCTCCAAGCAGTCTTGCACGACTTGGTATTCCCGGGCCCTGAGCTTCTTGAGCTCTCCTGCCACCTTGAGGACGTAGGCTCTGGCATACCGTGCACGGTACAGGCTCATGGACAAGGCGTATTGTGCCAGCTGCTGCGGCTAAATATTGGGTACAAACACATATATATCAGGAACAAATGATTAAAGAGAAATTCCACGGACTAAGAAAAACTTGGTATTCACATCCCTTCATAGGATTGACTGTGTGTATTCATGCATTTATATTAACATACATCAACAAGTAAACACATCAAAGAACAAGAAGATTAAACAACCACAACACAAGAACAAAACGCACGAGCCCTAAAAAAACCCTAGCCCTCTAAGGTTTGTTTGCAGCTCGATACCTTGCAGCAAATCTATGAAACAAAGCAAGCGCGTTGCTCGTCACCTCAGCCACATTCACGATCTTCCCCTTTATCGTAGCCTTTAACTTGCTCAAGTTTTTCACCGGCAGCTCATCCACACAAGTGTATGCATCAGTCAAAGCTGTGCTCACCCAAGTCTCCACGTTACTTATGTGCCAAATCAAGTCATCCCCCACAGTTTCTTGGCCAAAACGACGTAGTTCCTTGATAGATCCACTCAGTTGGTCCACACTGTCATTGATCTGCTCCAAGCAGTCTTGCACGACTTGGTATTCCCGGGCCCTGAGCTTCTTGAGCTCTCCTGCCACCTTGAGGACGTAGGCTCTGGCATACCGTGCACGGTACAGGCTCATGGACAAGGCGTATTGTGCCAGCTGCTGCGGGCTTTGGACGGTCACATTGGGCTTGATATACATGGAGAGGCAGTGGACGCATAGGTCTGGATAAAGCGTTGTCCGGCACGAGGCCTCGATGTAGGCCTGACCATGGGAACGCCAAGGCTGATCATTAGAAAAGGATGGCTCTACAGCACTCAGAAGTGAGAAGATCGAGAGGAGGACTACGAGCAAGGAGAAGCTCAGTTTTGCCATTTTTTATTGAGATTTGGACTGAAGTTTGAGTTTGGATAGGGAGATGTGATGGAAAAAGGTGATTTTATATAGGGGAGGGAATTAGGGTTTATCACATGGGACACATGGCTAACTTAACGTGCGCTTTAAGTGCATTAAGCTACCACAAATCTGTGCATATATGGATTATTGTATTAGATCTCTTCTCTGGGAGAGATATATGAATAGCATAAATAAATAGAACATAGTAAAATCAGATTGGATCAAGATTATGGATGACTAATTGAGAGATTATGTGTCCGCCAACTATATTATATATTTTGACATCCAAGCAAGAAGCACTAAGGGAACAACGTTAAGTAATGCCTGTAAGTGGTTAGGACGACCTATATCAGATTGGATTAAGATTATGGATTACTAATTGAGAGATAAGTATGTGTCTGCCAACTGTATTATATATTTTGACATGCAAGCAAGAAGCTCTATGGAAACAACATTAAGTAATGCCAAGTGGCTAGGACGACCTTTGACTGCACTTGTGCTTATCCAACATTTGTAGCACTTCATGGGAAAGATCATGTGTTCGTATACATTTGTTGCCATGTGAACTTAACTATTGTTTAAAACTCAATATTTAATGTATTAAAAGACTAATTGTTCGATTTCCACATATACTCCTCATTAATCTACCATCTTTAACTTCATTACAAAGAAAAATTATGTTACGAGACGAAAAAGCTTCGTCTGTATAGAATACATTTCGTCTGTTTAATATTTCCGCGATGGAGCAACGTCGACCAAATTTCGTAGGGTCAACACCGTAGCGTAAAATTTTACTCGACGGACTTTCACATCCGTCGGTTAACTATAACTTTAGCTGACGAATCGTTCGTCGTGTAGCAATCACATTATGCGACGGACATATCTGAAAAGACGAATAGGACCTAGTCGTCGTTTTGTATTAAAATAATATAAAAGTACACTATTCTGTCGGTTAAAGTAAGATTTACCGATGACTGTTCCGTCGGTTATGTAACTTTGATACTAAAAAATTATAAATTTATTACTTAAAAATAAAAATTTATTAATTAATAAGATAACTGCAGATAAAAAAGATATGAAATACGAAAATTAAAAAAATATATTGCAACCTAGAAAAATATATTGTCTAATTGAAACAAAATATATACAACTAAAAAAATTGTTTATTCAAACATATTACATAAAAATAAGGGTAAATTACACAAAACTACCTCAACTATGGGTTAAACCACAATATCATACCTCATGTCTTAAAAATTACAATTTCATACACTACAACAGAATTGGTCTTTTGCAGCGCACAAAGGGCGCCGTAAACGGTTATTCACGACGTGAGCCCACAAGTAGTAAAAGCCCCTGTTGTAAAAGATGTTTTGTCAAATACGACGTTCCTTAGTAGCCGTGAATAATTTAAGCAAAACATGTCATAAATACTCATTAAGGCGTGCCTTGCACGCCTTAATTGGTATTAGATACGGCGTTAATAGAGTGTCATAATACTGCAAAAGCAATTACGGCATACCTATGTGTCATAATTTATATTTGATACAACGTTTGTTGAGTGTCGTAATACTGTGAAGGTAATTACGACATACGGCATACATCGTAAAAGAAGACTACCATCAACAATTACGGCTGATTTTGCATGTCGTAGTTTACATTTATTTTTAACAATTCATTTTAGATGGACCTCACTTCATAACATCTAAATTAATATTGTAAGGAGTACAATAGAAAGATAACAATAATCATCGTAAAAGCATAAAACTCTACTGATAGGAGCATATATATTTAGGCAACTTAGTTGGCTTGTTCTTGTGCATTTACATTGTTATTTCTTAGTTCTTTAAGTCTTTTAAGTTATTTTCGTATGTTTTCAGGTTCTAAGGGCTAAAGGAGCAAAGAAGTGCATTTTGGAGCCTTTTGGAGCACTTTTGGGCTAAGGATGGATAGCTTATGCTTGGAGCCAAAGTGTTGGACGAAATTGAAGGCCTTGTATGCACTTTAGGACATAAAACAAAGGGCCTAGCCCATTCTAACAAGCCTTGGCCGTGCATATTCCCTTGCATTTCCAGCTTTCCCACTTCATCATTCAACCACATGCTCTCCCATTCATTCACTCTTTAATCATTCCATTCATGCACCCTTTAATCATTCACTCCCTAGCTATTTTTCCATTCATTCCCTTCATTATTTCAGCCACCATCACATTATTCCAACCTTAGCCGCACACTTCCATATTCCCTAGCTGTCAATCCCATTAAAACCATCATCATTCAGCCACATTCTCCCATTCTCCCTTTGTGCCGTGCATTCCCCTTGCATTTCCAGCTTTCCCACTTCATCATTGCAGCACATTCTCTTCCATATTCCCTCTTTAATCCATTGCAGCCACCAATCACCCTAGCTGTCACTCACATGCTTTCCCATTTTATAATTCACCCACATGCTCTCCCATCATCATTCCCTCTTTAATCCATTCAACCACATGTTTTCCCATTCTATATTTCAGCCACATATTCTCCCATTCTCCCTATAAAACCCATGCATAACCCTTCATTCCATGAACTGCCCTTAAAACCCGTGCATAACACTTCACACCATCACATCCCTTTGCCGTGCATAACATTGCAGCATTTCCAGCATTTTCCCCCTTAATTGCAGCCATTCCAACCACTCCTCATCCCTCCAAAACACTACCCTACCATGACACATCCATTCCTCCATACAAATACCACCCCAAAACTTGTCCTTAGACCTTGTGCCACAACAAAGAAGAGGAGAAGAGGGCCTAAATGTTCATACAATTCAAGTTTGAGTTGTTGGAATTTTTAGGTGTTTTCTCTCCTTGATTTCAATGGTTAAATTTACTTATCTTTGTTTTGTACGTATGAGGAACTAAACCCCCCATTAGTTAGGGGGTGATTCGAAACCATGTTTATGCTTGCAATATGAATTGATTACCTTTGGTTGGAATTTCATGAGTTGTGGATTCAATTTGTTTAACTGTTTGATTGATAACTTATTTATGTATGTTTATTGAGAGTGCACGCTTAATTTTCATGCATGAATATGACGCTAGAATATAAGTGAGTTTCACCTAATAGTTATGAACTTATATTCACAAGTAGTGGAGGTTGCTTATAAACAATCGCGTTAAATGAATTCTTGGCACGAGTTTCATGCTCATCATAGTAACGAATGCCTCGTCAACACTTATAGTTTTCATGATGCTTAATGATCTTTGATTGTATCTTTATTGTGCTTTTCACGTAAATGACTTTTGGAGAATGTGGTGAACTGCGTTGCGTTAAACCATCCAATTCATCAACTTAAGGAGAACTTGACGGTTAATTTAAGTGGACCTAATTAACCCGGGGTGTTGAGTTTCATAATTCATCGAAAGACCAACCGAAAATCATCTTGTATGCAAGTGTAACATGTGTGGAGAAGAACCTTCTAGCTAGCATTCATCTATATTTTCATCACATTCATATTTACATTCTGCCCTTAATTGCAATCTGTGCATTTTAGTTTAATTTCGTCAAAACCTCAATCCCCCCATATTTTGTTTAGTCTTAGTCATTACAATCTATCTTATTTTGTGTTTTTAAGTATTTGGAGTCTTGTGGACTTATTTTGAGTTTTTGTTATGTGAGTTAAGTGTTTTAAAGGTTAGTTTTATTTATTTGAGTCAGTTTAAAGTGTTTAGCACCCCTAGTTAATCCCCGGTTAGAACGATCCCTACTTACATCATTACTACAATTGTCACAAATAGGGTTTAATTTGTGTGTCACATTCGTAACGCATCATCTACATACTTGGATTAATTAGTAAAAATTGTCAATTACATTACAATTGGAAGTTTACAAAAAAACCTGAGTTGTTTTGTTCCTCTTACAACTTATGCACACCCTAAAGCTAATAGAGGAAACTAATGATGACCATAAGGCAACATCATACCAAAAAGTAATATCCCAAGCACACCCTCCATGTTCATAGAGCAACCAATTTCGTCACAAAAGAGCACCGTACCAAGAAGGGTTGAGCTAATTCTCAAATCTGGAGGACCAAAATATAAGCAACATCATACCAAAAAGCAATATCCCAAGCACACCCTCCATATTCATGGAGCAACCAATTTCATCACAAAATAGCACCATACCATGAAGGAAGCGTTGAGCTAATTCTCAAATCTGGAGGACCAAAATATATATAGCTAGTAAGTGAGAAAAACCAAGAAATAACTAAAGTAGAAATTGATATAAATTTAGTGAACCATCACAACCAAAATTGGTACCTTTTAATTAAGAGCTAGTCAAAGGAGATAGATTTGATTGGCCATGCGATTGTACTAAGGAGTGCATCATCGAGAAGAAAAAACTAACGTGTTGGTCAAGGTAAGTTTATCCTAGATACAAGTATCTCAAGGACCCAAACTTTCCAATGCTTTGGTCCAAGTGGCCCAAAATGCATCAAATCTTGAGGGTTTGTGGATTCAATTTCAGCAAGTGCAACAACTTCACTAGTCCCTGTCCAATTTCGTAATTTTCACTTAGTCCCTTGAGGTTTGGGAGAATTATGATTTAGATTACCAGAAGAGGCATCAAGGTTGGAAGATTTAGCTTGAGGCTTGGAAGGAGTAGCATGATGGTTTGCTGAATTAGCATGGTGATTGGTTGAATCATTTGGTAAGTTTCCAGATCCTTGTTGATTTAGGAGACTACCATTAAAGTAGACCATAATTTATGAGTTTCATGCTAATTTAATAATAATAATAATAATAATAATAATAATAATAATAATAATAATAATAATAATAATAATAATAAAGTGTACAAAAAATGTACTTACCGAGTTAGCATTTTTCCCAATCCGTCCAACCAGTAGGGAATGGACAATATTTTTCAAATCTTCCAACTCTTTTTCCAGCATAATAACTCTCTCACGATTATATGTTTGAACACTCACTTGTGAAAGTGTTGCACCAAACCCAA